GACACCTACTTTTGGTCACGTTTCTCTCTCACGGTCTCGCTTTGCTCCACTTGCTCTGACCTAGCCTTCTCCGTCACCAACGTCTACGCCCCTGCCGATCACTCCCTCACGGCGGCTTTCGTTGACGACGTGCTTGCCCTCGCGCCCTCCATCCTGGGGGCGTGGTTGGTGGTCGGAGACTTCAACCTCATCCGGTGGGCGCATGAAAAGAACAATAACCGCTTTGACGGGCGACATGCGTCCACTTTTAATTCTTTAATCAACACGATGGGGTGGCACGAGCTGCCGCTGTCCGATAGATTGTTCACCTGGTCGAATAAACGGGATCCCCCCACGCTCGCTAAGCTGGATCGGGTTTTCTTCAACTCGCGTTGGGATGTGCTCTTCCCTGACTCTTCTCTTGCCTTGCGTCCCCGTACCACCTCGGATCACTTTCCCCTCGTCGCCTCGGTCTCCACTCGCCTCCCTCAGGCAGGGCGTTTCTTCTTCGAAAATTCGTGGTTGCTGGACCCTAGCTTCCTCCCCGCGGTCTTACCTGCGTGGTCGCGTGTGCCCCGGTCCCCCTGTGCCGCGTCCTGTATTGGCCGTCAGAAGAAAGGTGTTAGGTCTGCCGCCAAGGTATGGAAACGGCACCACAAATACATTCCTGTTTTTGATAACAACTGCAAGTTCCTGGTGGACCTGTTTGACTTCCTTGAGGAGCACCGGCGGCTCGCGGCTGCGGAGATGGCATTGTGCGACGACGCCCGTCTGGCACTTGCCAACTCGGTGGCTCGCCAGGCTGCTTTCTGGAGGCAGCGTGGGAAATGTCGAGCCGTGGCGGAAGGGGACGAAAATACCGGCTACTGCCACGCCCGTGCTTCGCATCGACGGCGTTGCAACACCATCCGGGTGCTCGCGGTGGGAGGGGGTGAGCTCGTCTCCCACAACGACAAGGAGGCCGCCCTGAGACGCTTCTACGCCAACCTGCCGGGCCGGGCTCCCCGCGCATCGTGGGGGTTCGATCTGGCGGCGCTTTACACTGGCGCTCCGATGGTCGATGGGGCTCCGCTGGTTGACCGTTCTCTGACTCCGAGGTCCGGGAGGCTGTCTTCGCTCTCGACAGGACCAGCGCGCCGGGGCCGGATGGGCTCGGCCCGGCCTTCTACCAGGCCGCCTGGAGCGTGGTCGCGGACGACCTGCTCGCCCTCTTCGACGCCGTCCACAATGGCACTGCTAATCTCGGCTGGATCAACCGCGCCCTCACCGCCCTCCTTCCCAAAAAGGAGGGGACCCCGGGGCCCGGCGACTTCCGTCCCGTCTCTCTTCAGAACGGTGATGTGAAGATCCTGTGTCGGGGGCTCACCACTCGGCTTCAGCGGCAGATTGGGCTCTTGATCGACGATGACCAATGGGGGTTCCTGCCTGGGAGAAGTATCTCGGAGAATTTCGTCTACGCAGCGGAACTTATCCAATGTTGCAAGAAGAGGGGGGCGCCGACGCTGGTGTTCAAACTTGACTTCGCCAAGGCCTTCGACTCCATCGCCTGGCCCAGTCTTCGCCGGATCATGGAGGTGAGGGGTTTTCCCGCTAGGTGGTGTGACTGGATGGACCTCATCATCTCGTCCTCAACGGCGGCGGTCCTCCTCAATGGGGTGCCCGGGCGGTGGTTCGTCATCCGCAAGGGGCTGCGTCAGGGCGACCCCATGTCCCCGTACCTCTTCCTCCTGGTCGCCGATGTGCTCCAGCGCATGATCCGCTCCGACACTGCACTGCAGCACCCTTTGGTCGATGGCGCGCCCCCCGTGGTGCTTCAATATGCTGATGACACGCTTATCATTATGCGTGCGGCCCCCGAGGGCGCGGCCCGGCTGCGGATCGTCCTCAACCTCTTCGCCAAAGCTACCGGGCTTGTCATCAACTTCAACAAGAGCACTCTCGTTCCCATGCATGTCGCCCCTGACGTGCTGGCGGCTGTTGTGGCGTCCTTTGAGTGCTCTGTCGGCTCCTTCCCCTAGACCTACCTGGGACTGCCGCTCTCCAGCGACAAGCTTACAATGGAGGACTTCGCCCCGATGATCGCTAAGGTCGACCGCTACCTTGCCGGGTGGCGGGCGAGGCTTCTGTCGCCCGCGGGGCGCCTGGTGCTCATCAACGCGGTCCTTGACTCACTCCCCACGTACGCCATGGCCGCCATGCGGCTGCCGCCCAAGGTCCTGCATAAGCTCGACGACCTACGACGCGCGTTCCTTTGGAATGTGGCGGATAGAGCGTCGGGCGCCCAGTGCCTCGTCGCCTGGGATCGGGTCTGCCGGTCGAAGGCGGAGGGCGGTCTCGGGGTACGAGCCCTGGGTGTGCAAAACGATTGCCTCCTTCTCAAACTACTGCACCGCCTCCACTCCAGCACGCCGTCGAGGTGGGCCTCCTGGGTCTGGGGCCAACTGGCGGGGCGGTCCCTTCTCGGTGCCAGGTGCTCCCCTCTGGTGGGTGAGCACTGGTCGGCCCTCCTGCGGCTGCTCCCGGTGTACAGAGCTCTCACCAAGGTGGAGGCGGGGGATGGCCGCGCGACCTCCTTCTGGCATGACCACTGGCTCCCTTGCGGGCTTCTCCGGGCGGCCTTCCCCGCCCTGTTCACTCATGCCGCCTGCCCCGAGGCTACGGTCTGGGAGGCGCGCCGCCGCGGCGTTCGCGCGCTTCTGGTGCCCCGGCTCACCCCGCGGGCGGTCTGGGAGCTTGAGGCGGTTCAACGACTTGTGGAGGCACGCCCCCCTCTAAATGAGCCCAACGTCGGTCTGTCACGCTTTGCGCGGCAGGCGGCGGTGGACTCTCCTCTCGGGGCGCATACGCCCTCTCCCACTACGGCGCGGTGGCCGCGCCCGCTGCCTCCTTCCTTTGGTCTTCCCGTGCCCCCTCAAGAGTGAAGTTCTTCGGGTGGCTGCTCATCCAATCCCGTGTGCATACGCGGGACGTGCTGCTGCGCAAAACCATCCTCACCGCCGAGGAGGCTGGGTGCCCCTGCTGCAATGTGGAGCTCGAGACGGCCGACCACCTCATCTTCGGGTGTCCGTTCGCGGCGCAATTTTGGCGTAGGATCGGGCTGCCCCCCGCCGCGGGCTCGGTCCGTGCGCTTCATCGCTTTGACGTGTCGCCGGTCATCGGCAACAACTCCCCTGCGAGCTTCGTCCTTCTCTGCTGCTGGTGGCTTTGGAAACGCCGTAATGCATGTGTCTTCCGGGGAGACGAGATGTCCCTGGTCGCTACGCTCAAGGCCTGTCGAGATGATGCGGTGCTCTGGCGTGGCCGGATGAAGGCCGATGATCAATCCCACACCGACGTTTGGTTGTCTGTCCTTAGCTGAGCCGCGTGACTCGCGAACTATGAGAGTTGCGCTACGCTCTCGCCCCCTCTTGTACTGAATATACTATCGGGTGGTTTTGCCCTTTT